TAAAAAGCAACTTAGACAATCAAACATTATGTATCTTGAACAACTCTGTACTGCAGATAATAGCACTTTACTTGATTAAAAACATTTCTCACCAAGATTATTATACCTACCTAAAGGCAGAAAACCCTTCTGATTTTCTTACTTAGAAGATACAATTTTAGCACACTCTTATTATCAAAATATTTTACCACATTATCAATCACCAGACCACAACCTATATGCTTATCATACTATTAACACATTCAAAAAACTTACTAAATCTAAACTCTGGTTACTCTCTTACCACAATAATGAAATTATTATTGAGAAAATATGAAAATATTTTCCATCATATAACTACTACTCTATTACACATTGGACCTCTTATATTGACTTAAACCATACAAGATTTTACCCTTTACCTCCTGTCAGCTACAAACAATATACAGGATGCCATCTTAATTCTTACAGAATTAACCAAACCTGTACTGTTGAAGTCTCTGCAATTATTTCTGCACAATTTCTTGGCAGAACTAACTCAAAACACCAACTTAACCTCAATGCCAATTACTTGAACCTTATCTGCTTCACAGCTGTTAAGCATCCAACTCACATCTCTTCTTTATCTAACATTCCTATTACCAACTTTATCACCTCTAAATCTTCACTCCAAGCGAATCCACTAACAAACTAATATTCATTTCACATCACAATCTCTCTTACTAGCAACTATCTTTATATACTGATTGTTTTGTAATTGATATTAGTACTGACCAATGCACAATGGGCATTGGTTGGATCCAAGTTGATAATAATAACCAAACTAGATAGCTGCATGACATTCTTATGCAAAACCAGGAATAGAATATTTAAACAAAATAGAGATTAAATTTAATAAAGACTAGCATTTATAATATCTCATTTTATTAGTCAAGGATTTTAAGGTTTGTTGAAGAAATTAAATTTATGTAGAATTTTGTTCTTTAGCTAATCTTAAATCCTTGACTAAAAAACTTGGTATTAGGCAAGAATTACTTAATAACTTATTATAGTAATATTAAACTTTTTAGTAATATTATTAAGAATTAGTAAAAAGCAATAGTATCGTAAAGGTATATATATAGTTAAGTTAAATTGATTAGTAGGATGGTAAAAGTGGCATAATAATGTGGATTGTAATGGTCAAATTTTGTTGAATAAAAAATTTATGACTATAACTATAGTGATAGAAGTATGCAGGATAGTGCTGCTTACTTTATCAACATCATATAGAGTTAAGTTTAGCTTTTTATTAGTTGCATGCATATATTTTTAGTAAATTGTTATTTGGTGTGATGTCAGCTAAGTAAGCTTTTGGTGAAATGATTGTCGAAGTATTCATGTAGGATATAGAAATGTTTTGAAGATGAGAATAAATGTGATATATATAATATAACTTATTAAAATAAGCATAACCTTGAATTTGCTTATATTGGTTATGTTATCATTGTTATTAGATGGTAAATATGGTGCTATTTTTAAGTTTTTGTGTATTGGTGTTCCATTATTTGAGTTCAATTGTAAAAACGAATATCACAATATCATGTGATTAATGTAAAAAAATAGAATCGCAGTATTGGTATTGGAATTAAATTTGAATTAATAATGATATTGATCAAAGTTTAATTAATTGTTGTGTTTTAAGATAAAAAGGGTTTTTGATTACTAATGACAACTTTCTTCCTCTTTTTTACTTTTTACAGAAAGCGAAAAATATAATGTGATAAAGTCACGAAGACAATGGAATTTTCTAATAATTTTATTTAGAATGAAATTATTATTTAAAAGGAACAATTACTAGAGCTAATATTTATATTCGAATTTTAATAGCTAAAGCTTAACTGAGTTATTATATATTACAGAAGAAAAGTATTCCTTTATATTTAATTTTATATATAATAGAATTTGTAGGAATTATAATTATTATTAATAATCTAATCATTCTTTGAATTATCGTTTTTCTCATTTTCTATTAATACCTATAATTTATAGAATATCATGAATTTCACGACTTTAAAGATCTTGTAATACTCACATTAAAAATAGCATAAATGGTGAAAATAGTGTAAGTATGATTACAGTTTTGGTAATATTATTTGTTAATTAAAAAGTGATATAATTTGAATTAATTAATTTTTGATCACATTGATTTAAAGATAATAAAGATAAAAAATTACAAAAATTATTATGTGGGTTATTTATTAAAAGTTTAATATAATTATGTTAACAAGAATAGACAATACTATTATATTAAAAAATAAAAAAGCATAAATGAATTATAGAAGGTAAAATACATTAAACTAAAAAAGAACTTAATAGTCTATTTGATGCTTAAAAATAAAAAAAGTTGATTTTTAAATATCTGACCACTCTTTTAATTGATTAGTTCTCTGTATGCATTTATCAAGTTTATTAAATTCAGCACAAAGTGCAGGTGAAATCCATATATCTAATACAAATTCATTAAATGGCTGTAGAATCAATAAATTATCTAATCTTTGGATATGAGAAAGATTATATATAGACCATTGCTTGTATTACTGCCTATAAGATTAACAATCACTTTGTGAAGAGTTCTTTCTTGGCATTTATAGTCAGTGAACACAAATGCAAGAGTTAAAAGAAGCTGAAATTGTTGAAACCTTCTTTGAATTTTTGACCCATCACATTTCCAAATAGTTTGTACACAGGCATGTTTAACAGGGTATATAGGTACATGATTGGGTTGAAGGTCTTGATAAGAACCTGGTGCTCTATCTATTAGTTTGACAATGACATATTTTGGTGGACTTTTTAATATTACCTTATTTTTATCACAAGGCAAAGGATCAATTGAGTCTTTATCATATACAATTTTTTGAAGAATTCCTTGTAAACCATTTGCCAAGTTATCATTTGCACAAATATTGATAGTTATAACAACTTTTATATTAATAGATAAAGGTAATATACCACAACGTGTATTGTCTTTTGTATCATATGTTGATAAAAATTTTAGACGAGTATTCCTTGTATAAACAGTTCAGTTATAAGAATCACATGCACAAGAATAAATAAGCGGTTGGTTATTATAATAATCATGCTCTCTTGTGGCATCAAAATTAAGTTGGACATAAAGGTCATTTCTTGTTATAAGAAAGATAGCATTTCTACAATCTGCTGAATTAATTTGATCATCACTAAGAATTTTTGATCATAAAACAGATTTTTGCTCTTCAACAAGATTCTCTTTATGCATACTTTTTAGAATGGTAGCATAGAAGGGATCATCAAATTAACACATTTGTTTTTTCAGGTAAATCACATGTTTAACATTCAACCAAAGGTTTCTTCCAGTAGTATTAGTAACAGATCAGGTGCCAATTGATAAAGGATTAACATTACGTTTTCTTTTTTTAGATTTAGATGAATCCTGGATACTAGAGGTAGTAGTAGACATGGTAGTTTGGGGATTACATGATGAAAGACAGGTAATCTTATCTGGCATATATAAGTCAGAATCTAATACAAGTGGTAATTGCATAAAATCACTAACAAACATGATGTTAATTCTGGCAAAAGGAACTAAATCATCTGTTACTTTTAATTTTTTCATAAAAGTGTGAAATTGAGTCAGGAGATTTTGACCGATCTTAGAAATCTCATTTATTATGACATATTCTATTTCAGACCATAATTCTTGAAGCTGCTGCAAAGATTCTTCTGTTAAAGCAGATAGTTTTTTACTATTTTCACCAAAGCCAAATTTACATGCAGAATGAATAGTACTATCATAAACATTAGCAGCAGCAATACCAGTAGGAGCTAATATAAGAAGGGTATGGCATTGTAAAATGTTTTCAAAATATAAACAAATTGCATGAATTACTCTAGATTTGCCAGTTCCACTAGCACTAGCAAGGTAAAGTAATAATTGTGACAGTCTATATTTACTTGTTGGCTGATTTCTTCAATGATGATCATATATGAGAAAATAAGCTTTTTTTTGCTCTGCATTTAAACTATATGCAAACTTTTCTAATGGATCTATAGTTTCTCCATTATAGTAAAGTCCAGAGGAGTATTATGATTATTCGATAAAGCAACAAGGGTATTTAGTAGAGGCTCATTTTTAAAGATAGAAATATTGTTATGACAGAAAGTTGTTTTGCACAAAGTTATAATATTTTGTCACATTTTCAAAAGATTATTGTCATTACTATCACTTGAGCATATAACATTTGGGCCAAGATTATTAATATTGATTGAATCATTTAATCTTGTCGAATTTGTGTAGTTTTTTGTAAGAAATCTTCTATGAATTCATAAAATGTTTATAGCAGTATCAACTGTTCTGACATCTTTTAGACCAGACCTAATAATAGCAGCTGGGCTAAAGGTTACCATATTATTAGAAGCATTAACAATATCCTGTTTATTGTCATTATCATCAAAAAGATCAGTTAGATCTTCTACATTATATTCAGGAGATGAATGATCAATTCAGCGAGCTTTAGCAAGAATTGGATTACTCAATGCACTTTTTCTTAATTCACAATCTAAAAATGTTTCTTCTACACATCTGTGTAATAATTCAATATTTGAAATTATATACCTTATATGAGAAGATAAAGTAAAGCTATCTAAAATTGCTTGGCATGCTTCAGACATGAGTTATAGTCCTTACAAAGATCTTGAACTGTTTTCCATAGTTTAAACAACATAAGGATGTTTAACCCATATAATTCAGCATTTTCTACATCATCCTTCTTAGGTATGCCTTTACCACACAATACAACTATCTTTTTAGTACCTTGTTTTCTATGAATTTGAATATAAGTTTTATTCTAAAGATGCATATTAATAGATTCAGAAGTAAGGTTATTATTTACTTCGTATCCTTGAAAATAAAATCATTTATTTCCTTCCCTAGGATGCTGACCTGATAACATTAAATGTTTATGCGAGTTTATTGGAGCCTTTTGAATGCATGCAGCATAATCATATTGGCAGATATTATGTAGCGTTAAGCCTCTGAACTAATAATTAACATGAAAATTTATGGCAGTTAATTTATTATTATAGAATGTAACCAAGAATGATTCATTTAAAAGATTTTGGGCATTTTGGATATTATCAGTATCTAAATCATCATTAAAATCATCATCAGATTCATCAAAAACTTTAGTGAAGGTTTGGTATTGTTTTTTACATTCTTTTGTAAAATAGAATTCTAAGAATTGAAGATGTATTGATGCAAATTTGTTTGGTATATAATGGTCAGGAATGCCTAACAGATATGCCAAAACTTGTGGACTTGTAATTTCTGATTGACCCACTATTTTGTTAAGGCATTTAGTTATAAGCTGTGGAAATTATTTACAATATCGATAGAGCTTTTGTTAGATGCTTGTGTTAAAAAATTTTCTAAAGTAGAGGTATATATTAAAAAAGAACTATGTGTACTCAGATCGATTTAGTTATATAATCAGTAATATAGTAGATGTATGCTAAGGCCAATTTATGAGTAGCAATAAATTTAATATTATTGTTTCTATGACAGGCAGCAGTTATGTATGGGTTGTAATTATTGATAAGAGAATTAGTGCATTTAATTGCAATAATGCCTTGATCAGAAAAAATCATTCTAGGAGGATCTACAAGTTCTCTTAGAAAATTGAACTTGCAGCATTTTTGAAAGCCACAATTGTATTTTTTGCATGTTCAGCTATAGCAATGATAGAGTGTATATTTGGTAAGAGTGAGTAAGTCTAAACAGAATTTCTCTTTAAAATCAGATGATCTAGGGTCCGGTATAGGTTGAAAAGAGGGATGTAATCATTTTTCAAAGATTGTTTTTGGAGCAGAGTACTTAGCCTTAAGCATTTCATTTGTTAAAACTTTATCTTCCTTAAGCAGTTAGCTAATATCTTCTCAAATAATATTACTGACATAACTTAGTAAACGTTCGTGAAATCCAATGTCATCTTTAATTTTATTATGAAACATTATTGGGTTAGACGCATCATGAGCCAAATCAACAGGTGGCAATGAGGAGTACCATGATCTTGATATTCAACAACACCATAGTAATTTTTTATGAAACCTAGAACACCACCATTTTCTTTATTATAACCAATCAAAGTATTTATAATTGAATGAATGGTTATATTAAAATATTTGGCAATGGCTGAGGGATTAAGATGAGTGAGTTGAGCACTTTCAGAAGCTTTTAGGAAATTTTCAAAGGTAAGTTTTTCAATATCAATTTCATTTTCAGCATACATCATTACAATAGGACTGTGAAGATCAGCTGGATTAATCATAATAAAGAGTGAAGGTGTACTATCATACACAATAATAGTGCAGATTTCATTACGCATGTAAGCATGCGATTGGTGAGAGGCCATTAATTTGAACTAGCAGCATTAATATTTCTAAGTAGCTCATGAATAGCAGGATTAGATATATGCTGTTTTTTTTGTTCTTGTTCAATAGCCAGTTTTATATTATGTAAATTGAGATTAGATATTAATCTAGCCGAACGATCAAAGTTTTTGTTTCGAGTTAGATTATAGGACTCAGTTGACACTTCTCGTTATTGCAAACCATCAAATATAATGAAAGAAAATGACCTATGCTGTCTGAACTTGGGATTATGGTGACGCATGAGGTGATTAGAATTTTTTTTAATGATACACATGTTTGTCTACCTTTATAACCCGTGACACTATAAGGATAGAGAACAGGAAATCTAGCAGAAAAAAGCAACAGATTCTCATATTCATTCAGAGGTTTGTTACTATGGGGTATACAGATTAAATGATTAACCTCATTACACCTTTCATTTGAAGATTGTTGGTTACTTGAATGTTGATTAGATTTTTCTACTAATTTTTGAAATGAAAGCAGAGTAAGTACTTTTTTAGTAACAGGTACATCATTGATATGCAATATTCCAGAGGGCCTAAGTTCGCTTGCATTATTAATAAAATTGTTTAAATTATGCTCAGAATCATCCTTATCATCAGTTTCACTATCAGATTGTTGATAAGCTTCTTGAGCATAACCAGTATAGTGTTCTGTTTTCAAGAGTCGATATCTACAACTGTGATGATTAATAATAAGGATTCTGGAATTTCACCTTCTGGCAAAAGGTTTAATGCATTTTTGTCAATTCTGAATTTATCTTTAAATAATTTATTGTGGGAAAATAACCAATTAAGTGTTGTTGATATCTTACTTTTCCAAACTTGAAGTACCTTTTTTAATTAATAATTAGTAGGTGATCCTTTTCTGACAAAAACTACTTTTAAATATTTAGAAAGCTGATATATGGGTAAAGGTGATATATTAAGCAATAAGCTAGGATTTTGTGGTAATGTGATAATATAACCTTTAAGTTTATGATAGGTATACTTTCTTTTTGTTAATTGGATAAGATTCATATATAAGTAACCAGGTGAGATAAGGAGTTGCTCTGGTATGGTTAATTCTTGAAGACATAAAGGCATAGGTTCAAACCACATGTTATTAGCTAAGAATAACAGAGAAAGTTTATTTTTTTTTAAACAATTATAGCAGATATTACAAGTTCATAAAGTAAAGGGATTGTGACAGTTAGTGGAATTATAATTATTTTGGTATACAAAACCAAATCGATTTAGAAGAATTTTTTAGTTACTATTGATATAAGGGTGTTCATAATTAAAATTAATTTCAAATGATGGTTCAATAAGATCATGTGATAATCTAAGTAAAAAAAGATTAATCTCATTTACAGAGATTATTTTGTAGCTTTTGTAATTGTAAAGTCCTGAGCAAACAGTGCATGGTAATTCGTGTAATTTGTTAAGATTTATGTTATTATAAAATTCAGCTAATGCATCTTTTGCTATTTCAGGATTGATCTGTTGAGGCCACATAACATGTTTTTCAGCTGTTTTCTCAAATTCTTTGTCCATCTCTAAAACGCACAAAGGAATGTCTAATTTATCTGACTGATGGTTTGTTATACAGGGTTCAAATCTTTTTAGCTTTCATTAATTTTTTTGCTTATATTAGATTTCTGGATGTATTCTTTATTTTTATAATAGTTAGCCATATTGATTCTATTTTTATTATTTTCAGATTTCTGAAAAAAATAGTCTTTACGTTTGGCAGCTTTTTATTTGCGATCTTTTATTTTCTAGATTTACCTCTAGTTACAACATCAACTATAGTTTAGTTTATTATAGTGAAATATAAAAATTAAGAGTATTTCTTTATAATAAGAAATTTTAGGATATGTTGAAATTTTATTGTCTGCCATTTATGATTCACTCTTTTTATAATTTTTCATCTGAACTTACAAAAGAATAATTTGAAGTGAAGAATTATAAGGCTTTTTATTACAAATTACCAAATTTGGTCCACTTTATTAAATTATTTTGAATAAATATTCTTTAATATTATTTTATTCCAATTATGGTAGGTTCTAGAAGTGTCAATGCATATTTATATATAGCTAGTATCATTTAATAATCTTCTTTTGAAATTACATTCCTGATTTGAAATAGATGAATTATAGTAGCAGGTAAAATCCAGATTTTAGCATAACTTATTTAAGTATAAAGTAAATTGAAAACAGGTATTTTGATTTCAGCTTAAACATTATGAATATTTCCAATTTAGTAATAAGTAAATTTTGGGTAAGGTTATTTCAGGTGAATTTGTATTCTTTGCATGCTAAATATTGATATGTAATTAATTAATACTAATGCATATTATAACAAATGAAGTAATTAACAAGAAAATTCATCACAAGCTCATTCAAATGATAAAATACCTATCAAATAAGAATAGAAATATTAATAACTGAATGACAATAAAATGGTACAAACTAAATTAAGAATGAACAATATTGATATAAAATTTTTAATTAAGAGGTTAGTTACTATAAACTATCATATGCATATACTATCTTTCATATACTATTCTATAAGAGATCTAACATGTTATATCTTTATTGAATATAATAGTCTAGAATTTGATCCAGTTACCATAATTAAAGAAATCTGTGTATATTTGAAATTTAAATTCAGTGACAAATTTTTTAGAAAGGATTATTGTATTTTAATTACATTAATTATAATATTATTTCACTAGCAAAAATGTCAGCTTACAATAGTTTAATAAGTATGAAATCAAGGGTTCATCGATTTTAATAGTATCATATGCAATCTTAAAGTAAAAGAAATAGGAAAATTTTTTTTTATTCACATTCTAGTTATATACCCCATTTGACCCTAAATTACATCATTATGTCATTAATCACAAGCTTCTTATTGACTTTCACAGACATATGTCATACATCATTAATTGATTTATTATTCTCTGATCGATCCTATTTAATCAACTTGTAAACACGTGACCAAGATATTCCTGTAAAACCAATTTAAAGCAATAAGTATTTTTAAGTATTAAATTTTTTTTTTTTGTATGCAATCAATTAATTTTTTATATTCAAAGTTTCTTCAACTGATATACTGCATATGAATAAATTGGAAAGCTACTGCTTATAACGATCAGTAAGCAAATATAATAAATATTATGACATTATCCATTTAAGTATTTAAAATAAGCCATTGAAGTTTGTAAAATAATGAATAGATCTCAATAAAAAAGGTGAAATATGTTATTATTTACTAAGCAGAATATAAAACTTAAGTGGCTTCGTGAATTGTATATTAAATAGCACAAATAAACTTAATTATTAGGTCGATTGAATGAATTGAGTACTGGTACTCTTTGACCTTAAATTGGTAATTATGGGTTACACACACTTAATATCTAATTTAATTAAATTTTTTTAATACATTTAAGCATCCTACAAATTACATAAAACAAACATCATTAGAATTTGTAATGTCTGGTCTAACAATATTATATATCATATATAGTATATGCACTAATTATCTATTTATTCATGAACAACAGTCGATCTCACATATATAATCAAACTTATTTAAAAAGGTTATAAGTAAACTATAGATTTACTAGTTAAGCTATTTAATGTTTTCTATTTTTTCTCTATTTTTTTATCTTTTTTATTCAGTTTTCTTCTAGCAAACTTTTTTTTTTTTTTAGGTTAAGCTTCTTCATCAAGATCTTCAATATCATCTTGTGAATTTGCATCCTTATCTAATTCTGCAGTTTTTTGATTATGAATATTTGTATCAAATGGCTGGTTAATATCTTGAGAACTTGAAGAAAATTCAACATGTTGCTTTGGTTGGATGACAGTCGAATCAATGTCATCATCAATAATATCAATAATTGATGGCTTATCAAATGCCATCAAAGAAGAGCTTTTGGATGTGATAATATTGATAGATGAAGTTCTTAGATAATCGATATCAGTAGCTCAATCATCATTTTTCTGGTTTTAGAAAATTTAAAGAAACCTGATATAAAATATGTAGACTGTAGCTTAATATTTGAACCCGAAGGGCCTAAATATTTAAACTAAGAAGATTGGAAAGGATAAATCATAGTCAAATTCATTTTGACATCAGGCTTACTAGTAACAGAATTATATTCAATGGTCTCAGCACCAAAATGAATAAAGTTTGTAATCTCTTTCGGTTCTTGATTGATTACCACTAATTACATGCAATGAGGTATATATACAGAAAGAGCAGTTGCATCAAACTCATGGTTTGGATTATTACTATCAACAATGCTTGAATATGTGATTGTAAAGCATGGTTCAAAGTTTTCAACAATGTATTTACCTGCAATAAATACAATATCATCATTTGTAAATATTTGAGGTGATTGATTTGTAGAGAAGAAATATTTAAATTTAATTATTTGAGATAATTCTTGAGAAATTTTATATTTCGCAAGACCAAATGAGTATGTGGGACTATTTTTTGCTATAATAATAACAACAAGAAGCGAAAGGTAGAAGACCATTTTTTGAATTTGTGAGTATGATATGATTACGATTTAATCACAAAAGGATAAAAAAATATATGCTCAAACACCTTACATTTATACAATAAACTTCGCTCTGATTTTTATACAGATAAAGTAATAGCAAGCTTTAACAAATAATTATAGAATTGATTTTAGGATGCGAACAATTACACATTATACAAAGAACATATTTTATTAATATCCACAAATCTCAGCACAAAGTAAATACATTCTTCAAATTGTAAAATAATTTGTATGATTTTAGTAGATTATTTTGAATATTCATAATTGATTGTATCATTACATAGTAGAAAAAAGAAAATTAATTTTAGAACTATTTACCTAATACATGCACAAAGTAAATATATTATTTAAATTATAAGATAAATCATACAAATTTAATACATGCATTATGTCTATTTGAAAACAATTCCAAATTTGTAAATTCATAATTTATTTAACTTCTAAACATATTCTTACCATGTAAAGTTAATAGTAATTGCATTTAACTTCTATACTATATAGAGATTGTTTATTTACCTCTACCATCATCGCTATTATTGCGCTTTGCAAAAAGATGTGACCTCTGCAGATCACAATATTGTGTGAAATTCAGAGATTCTGTTGATTTTAAGAATCTTATTGGTTTCAAATAAATATAAATATAACTGATAAAAAATATAAATTAATAGACAATCTAGAATCTCAGAAATTTTACTCTTTCATCATCACAAAAATCATGGAGTCACATCTTTTTGCAAAGCACTATAATTACAGAATGTTTTTTTAGAAGATACTATGAATGGATATATACTAATGCTGTGGTGAATAGAGTCAGGCTGAGCCTGGACCAGGTCTAGTTTAGAATCGGTTTAATAACTAGATAATCATACAAGAACAAATATTGTTTTTTAGTATCTCATATGATATGGCTATAAACTAAATTGGTATTTTTACTCCAAAAATTCACAAATTGAATAATTATTTAATAAATAAATACTCCAATTGGTAAATTTAAACCAAATAAATAAACACTTAGATTTTTATTTTTTTTTTATGCTAGAATTAAATAGGGTTCTGATAGTGGTATAAAACCTGTTCTCATGCTGGTTTACGATAGATTTGCTAGAGGCTGGACTATCTAATTTCCTTAATAATCATTTGTTTAAAGAATGAACATGGCTTATACATTTCCAGAATTATGTAAAACAATGATTTTAAAAGCATTGTTTTAACAATATCATATTCAAATAGTTCATTGTTTATAATATAAAAGTAATGCATGAAAAGCATTAGTGATAGGTGTTTAAAGCAATGATACAAAAATAGTAATCAAATCTTCGTAAATTGGATCTTTTTCCATAATAGTATAATACTTACTTCTATAGTAATACAAATGTTAATTCTAAAGAATATTTTATAGCAAACCATTATCCAGTTCATTCAAACCAGATAAATGATAGGTAAGAAATAAGCATACCAATTTAAGTTCAAATAATCACAAAGTAATTCATTGTTATTTGTCTATTCAAAAAATATATACTGTAAAGATTATTGAGACATTAAATTTGAGACAGCTTAAATACAACACATTTACACAAATACATAATTAACTAAACCTGATTCACATTCCACATTATAGCTTATGCAAGTCATCAATACATACTACACTAATCAGAAAAAATTCTACAAGCAAAGCATTGCATAGGCACACGAAGATGTAACATACGATATTCCTGATATGCATTTACATCCCTGCTTTGCCTCATTTCACAACCAATAAAATGCAAGATTTTGCGGACACACATCATTAATTTGTCACATAAACATACATTTCATGATATTTGCATATTACTCCACTTCTGGTATTACTAATTCCTTTTCTGCTAAAATCAAATTCTGGCCTTCATCTTACAAAGCAGAACTATTCTTAATTATTACTGCAATCTCAACTGCTCCTCAAAACTGTATTTTAATATCTTTACAGACTCTCAATCAGTAATTTCTAAATTTAATAATCTTCAACTTAAGCCAACTTATTCTAACAAGTTACTCAAATTTAATTCATAGCCAATTTGGCACACTCTTCTAAACATTAACAAATCATACAAACTACAAATTACTTTTCACAAAGTACAGACTCATTCAGACAACCATCTTAATAAGCAAGCAGACTCTCTTGCTAAACAACACCTACTGTTACTACTCCTTTCATTTAACTACGCAAATCTCTATAACTTTTATCATATTCTCTAATAGGAACATCACTATGTAGAACTCCCTACAAGGCATTTTATTAAACAAATCTGTAATGCTCATATCTTAGCTATATGGGCATCACAAAAACAAAATAGTGAATGGTCATACTTCAACCAAGACATCAACTGGAGATCTACTTGGCTCTACTTCAATCATAATCAAAAACCCTCATACAATATTACCAACTTTAGACTTAATCAACTAAAATCTTTTAAAACAAAAATCCTTCTTAA